TTTTGTGTTCCGATTTGAGAGGCTCACTGTGGATTTCTGAGACCAAAATATCTTCATCCCTGTCATCATCTTTGACAAGAGATAACATGTTTTTAACGGGGATTTCGGTGTTAGAAACCCACGGTCAGTGAATTACTGGCTTAAAGCTCTGATCTCCTAGTAGTTCAAATATTTAAAATATTGGAAGATTGGAACTTTATTTGTGCAAATGATTTAAATATGTTTTTCAGCGGTGGAAATAAATAAACGTGAACAGAGTATGATGAACCCATCATGTTTAGGATCAATTTTAATTTAAAACATACACCTAACAAAGAAATTCTTTTCAGCGTTTATAAAACATCAATCAGCCTTAAAAAAATATTTTGAATTTCAAACTTAAAAAAATAAACGTTAACGTATTAAGGTATCATAAATGCTTTAGAGTTGTAGAACAACAAATAAAACTAACTAAATCCGCTTTCACTTCACACTTAATATTTATGCATTATTTAGAAATAAAAAGAGTACTAAGGTATCATAAATTTTAAGTATCAGTTACGTAGTGGGCAGTTACACTCCATTTTGCTGACGCACATTGGTAACAATGTGATCCACGCGTCAGGAATGCGATGCATGTAACCAAAAACGTTTGTAGGATTTAAAATAGTGATGTGAACGACATGTTTTAAACTTAAGTTAAAACCGTTATATTAGTTTAATTAGTTATAAACAACTATACATTACACTTCAATGGATAGAGTATACCAGGATCGCATAACCTGACATATGACGCGAATATCATCTCAATAATTGTTATAAGCCTATAAACATGAATCTCTCGCTATTTTTAATATTATAAACGGTATATAAAACATTAAAATAGCTTTTATACTAAATGCTAATAAGTTTTCAAGTCACAGCCCGCCCTAGTGGGTGGTGCAAAGCCCCTGACAAAGTTCGTCAGCCGGCCATTAAAATGGAATCCTGCCTGTTATGAACGAACTCTAATTTAAGTCTATTTTAGACTGAAATTAAGCCGATGTTTTGGCTATCTCACGTTTTCATTCATGTACATTTATATAAAGCTATTAAAATACTAATCCAATGATCAAAATATAACTTCTTCTTTATTAAATTATTCAAACTTTCGTGAGACATTATAGTAACCTTATATAAAAACGGCTAAACACTCATGTATATTCGTCCGGTGGCGGCACTGACTAGTTTCGAGCTCATCAGGGGCCCTTCATCAGGGTGAGTGGTACTGCTAGTATTTCGCGGCTGCGGCCCGTCGCTCAATGATGAAGGGCCCCCGATGGGCTCGAAACTAGTCGGTGCCGCCACCGGACGAATATACGTGTTTAGCCGTTTTTATATCAGTCTTATTTATTGAGTAACTTTAGCTAAAGTTAACTAAGTATTGAATCATTTATTTTACCGATTTTATTATCCAGAAAGAAAAGAAAAAGGATAGCCATAGTTGTTAATTGTGACTAAACATACAACTAAAGATCGAAGTCAACATTTGGTCTTACCCGATCAATAGTTTAAATCGAATAAATTCTGTATTGCGTTCGTTACAAAGTAAAGATATCCAATCGAATAATTCAACCACAACTAAGAACTATATTAATATTTTTTTTAAATAAAACTATGCAATTCAGAACCAAAAAGAAATAATAATTGCTTAAATGTCACAAGTTCAATCGTAAAGGTCGATGTCCATGTAGCCTGATTTTGTAGCACTTTAACATGAAAGTTTCAGACACGCGACATGTAGGAAATTAAATAAAAGCCACTAAACTATGTGTGAAATTTGTGCTAGTATCTTTTATACTTTGGTGATCTTGAACGAACATTGACCCCTATAGGAATAGACAGGTCGCCGCATGGAAAAACGACAGCTTTTGTTTTTAAAGTTCATCATCAGCTCACTATACGTCCCACCAAGTTAAGGATGATTAGGCCATAGTCAACCACATTGGCCAAGTGCGGGTTGGTTGACTTGACACATATCTTTGAATTTCTTCTCAGATATGTGCAGGTTGCATCACGATGTTTTCCTTCACCGTAAGAACGTCGGATAAATGTACATATACGTAAATCGGAAATCGAAAAACACATTGGTACATTGCGGGATTCGAACCCAGGAACTGCAGATTGCAAGTCAAGTGCTTGACCCCTGAGCCACAGACGCTCTTTAAAGTTATTGGCAGTTAATTCTATCTCTAATATTAGTTCTAGGATCAAAATAATTAAAGCTTGTAGCCTGTCCAGTGAATTATAGAGGTCAGTAACCTGATTCGATTGTCTTATTTTTCCTGGATTATTTAATTCGTTTGTTTTTAAAAGAAATAACTAAGAACCCACACGATTACTTGAAGCAATCAGTATGAAATTTCGGATAAATCATCTACTTTTTCGATTACATTTCCGAGTGACGTCATAGCTAAGGCTTATGTAATCTACAACTTTGTATACTTAGCCTTTTGTTTCCCAACATCCAATAAACTTTATCGCGTTCCTAAAATAACATTTTTCTACTCTATGGCTTTTCTTTTAAAATCAAACTTTTTTTTACAACACCCAATGACGTCATCAATCGTAACGGCTCAATCGAATATACGAAAGTCATAATCTCTGAAGCCTTATTTTAATTGACTCGAGCTACGTAGTTCGTAAAACAATTATTTAAAGGTCGTTTTATAAATTATATAATAAGCATTCTTTGATTATGTACTTATCAAGTATATAAATAGTACTCTAATCGAAATTATATATCATACTAGATGTCGCCCGCGACTCCGTCCGCGTGGGATTAAAAATAGATGTTGGCCAATTTTGAGACCTACTCAATATGCTCACAAAATCTCATGAGAATCGGTCAAGCCGTTTCGGAGGAGTATGGGAACGAAAATTGTGACACGAGAATTTTATATATAAGATACTAAAGTCCATGGGACTGTGATATCTCTCTAGCTTATAGGGTTGTCTAACCAGAGTTTCTCGCTTATGGAGGTTGTCCGTCGGGCCCTAACAATGACTCTCGCTTGTCTTGGCAGACTGTTATTAAACTGGGACTGGGATTAAATTCAACAATATAACCACAAAATAGGACAGTCCGAGGATTCTAAACGACAATTATTACTACAATCGTTTAAAGGGGAAACGGTATAGTAAACCAAAAGCAAGATAAAATGTACGAATAAAAAATTGCATTAACCGTGTGTTTCTGAGATCGAAATTCCCGTTTAAAACATGTTATCTTTGTCAATGATAATGACAGAGATATGTTAAACACTTGACATTGGCCCAATCCGATGAGGGAGAGCCATAAACAAGAAACAGAACAGAACAGAGATATGTTTCATACAGATATTTTAGTCTCAGAAACACACGGTTAATATTTTAATTTGTAATATTTGATTAGCTCCAGCATTCATCAAATCGGAACACAAAAATTAAAAATAATAATGGCGACTAAGAATGAAACTAAAAAAAATAAACAAAATAATGAAACAAAAATTACTTTAAATTCTATGTAGTATTTTTTAATGTCGAAGGGTTTACAATAAAACAAACTAAGCTGAGAATATTTTATTTATTCTTAAAATATCAAAATACGATTACTTAAAAAATAAAACAATTAATTAAATAATATAACCTCTAAATTCCAAAATAAAGTCTAGATGTTTGTAAATTCTGTATATTATGTAAAAATAATCATGTATTTACTGTACATTAGATAGGAAAAAAAAACTACATCTCATAAATACTTTTTCGAACTAGCAACACTTACATCAATTTTCTATACGAATACACGAAGCAACTACTGCAAAAATTTTTCTAAGATTCCAATAGATTTTTTATATTTTCTTTTCTACTTTTCCAAAGCAACTTATTACGTCGCAAAATTTTTAATCGAGTTGTGTCTTTTGTTTGAATATTGTTAAAATAATTTGTGTATAAAGCTCAAATGACCTCTATCATTACGTATTTATAAAACAAAACATGTATTTCTGACTGGCCAACTACAATTTAAAACCAAAGAGTTCGTTTAATTTTTTTTTAAATTTAGAATTCTTAAAACCAAATTGTCTTTGGCCAGTTTATTTTTTGTGTCTATTTTCTGCCAGTGTAAAAATCGGCTTTATAATGTCTGTGCTGTTTAGTATGCGTGGTTGGCAACAAAAAGACCGGCTTCGGCCCCCACACCTGTAACTGATCCAGCCACATATTTGCCCTGCGATGCCTGTCCGTTAGCCTGGAATTAAAGAAAACGCATTGTTGAAAAACAATAGGTAGATATATATCTTTTATTCATTATATGAGTATTTTTCTTACAATTATTATCAATGTGTATTTCCAACCTAGTTTTAATTTTTCGTCTATTTCATACAAAATATTATGATTTAAATGTGCCTTTTAATATAATTAGTTTAAAATGTGCATTTAAGAAACGTGCTATAAATTTTCTGCAGGCGTTTCAACGTTTTAAACGGCTTCTACAATTTGAAATTCCTTTTGATTTTGTCTAGTTAAGAAATTTGAGAACTTAGCTTTCGGGTTTTATATCATATTTAAGTCAGATTACTTTATTGACTCACCTTAATTTTAGCAGACGTCGCATAGTAAATACCTCAGCAGTCAGGGAATAGGAAAACTATGATACTACTACTACTTCTACAACACAGCACATATTTTGAATAACAAGAAAACTGCTAACACAAGAGTTATGGTTAAGATTGTCTTCTATTTAATGACTTCTTTTATATAAAAATAGTTTAATGCGCCTATTAAAATAAATTATTTAAAGTGCAAATCTAAGAAACATGCTATAAAATTTAAACAGGCGTTTTAACATTTCATAATATCTTTAGGACAGTTATTTTTTAAATATACACAAGGGAAATCTTTATTCAATGTATCAAAATATGTGCCATAAAAACTACTGTTAATCTACAATTACTAAAGCAAGGTTAACACAGATACACAAATGAAAATGCAATATTTCAATATTTTTTTTAATAAAAAAGAAACAAAGGTTAGTAGTGCTCAATATTAGTGACAAATACAAAATAGGATACACTCATTGACTTTAAATCATTCAGTCTTAAAAGGAGGGTGAAATTGTATTTTACTCGATTACAATGAGTTTTCATTACCAAAAAACTTATACATAAACATATTTCGTTCTCTCATTCTTCAGCCAAATAAAAGAGAAAACATGTTTTCGTATAAGTGTATCATTGGAAATGTTTTCCGTTAATTTTGTTCAGACAATGAGTATATTTGGTTAAATACAAATGCAAGTTCTAATGACAGATATAAAATATTCCAATTGTATATAAAATAAACTGTAATAAATTATATATTTGAAAACTGTCAGAATAATAAACTAATTACAGGAAATTGTAAATTCGATTGCGGACTTACCTTGTAAATAATTTTATATATTTCTTAAAGATTTTTTTTTAAATTTAAATATTGATTCATAATCATAATTTTATTTTATCCATGTTATAAATATCTTGATTAAATTTTTTTGTTTGCACTATACGTATTATATATTTTAAACTTAACATATGTAGAAGAAAAAATCTTTTAAGCAATATCATGCAATAGAATAAAATGCAAAATTAGATAAGACTGTGCATTCAAAAATAACAAAGTTTTTTAAATAGTTGGAAGAACTAGTAGATTAAAAATGCTTAAAATTCGGCAGCCATTTTGTTTTAATACGCGTGCGATTTGACGAAATTAGATTTGGAAGCTGCAAGAGATGGGATCGATCCGGCGACGTATTTCCCGCTGGCCGCCAGCCCGTTCGCCTGTTTACGTTCCAAAACCATTGTATTGGCATCCAGAATAAATTCTTTGGTTTTAAATAGATTTATTATTAAGTTAAACTTAAAAATGTATGCGTTTAAGATGTGATATTTTAAATTTTAAAATACTGTATTTTTACCGATAGATGGCGTTATTTAAAATATTATTACTTCTTAATTTTATAAATGCGAATGTTTGTTAGAAGGTATCTTTAGAACGGCTCAACGGATTTCGATGAAATTTGACACAGATCAAGAACATAGTCTGGAAGATCACATAGGATAATTATGTTTTTTTTTAATTCCTGGCCGTTTGAAAATTCTTGATATTTTTACCGACAGATGGCGCTATTCCTAAATTTGCTAACATTTCATAAATGTTGAAATGACATTATTTAAAATATCACATCTTAAAACAATGATAAATTAGTAAAACATATAAAGCTATCTACATCTACAATACACAAAAGCACAAACACTAAGAACTATGCAAAACAAAAGAAACATGCAAAATAAATAATACAATACCTGAAAATCATAATAGATGGCGTTATAAGATAGTTCACTCTTTGAAAACTTCCATTATCAATTTATTAAGAATCGTTTTTATTACTCTTGTAAGTAATTAATTTATTTTACCCTCTTCGTATTGTAATGACGTCCATCCCCTACCTAACCTACCCTGTACAGTATGTTACCTTGGCTCTCTTGAGCAGCTCCTGTTGACCAACAGGCACGTTCTCGGGCTTTCCACCCCACGCACGAAGCACCGACGCCTGCAGAGCACGCCCGTAGCTGAAGGTCAGCGCCCACGGCTTCTTCATGTCCACAGAGTTGATGGCATTCAGGTTAACAGACGCCTCCTCTTCCGATTGACCACCAGACAGGAATGTGATGCCTGAAAATGGTTATCAAGCTATGACGTCATTTCTATTGCAGTTCCGAATTATCTTTAAAATGTGACGTCATACGAAGATATGACGAATGTCATGCTTGGAACTGTTCACTGCGGGTTGACTTCACACATATCTTTGAATTTCTTTGCAGATATATGCAGGTTGCATCACGATGTTTTCCATCACCGTAAGAACGTCAAACCTGGATTTCTAGATTCCAACAACATAACTCAAGACTATGGACCTCAATTCGGCGCAGTCCTGACAACTCTTTCACTTCTACATTAATACATCAAACCGAACAAGTCGGTTTTAGATGTATTTATTACCGTTCTTGATATAGTAAATATTAGTAATAGTATATTTACCGGGAACAGCAGCAGGCACGGTACGCAGCAGTGCTGTGACTGTGGCGCGTCCAATGTCCATGGGAGTGTAGGTCTTCTTGCAGGACTGGCCCGCAGTCACCTGACACAACACAAGCAACTTACAAGCTTATACTACCAGGGTTTCATGACTTAATATGGTAATAAAGGTATTTAATACTTCGAATTATTTGACGTTATGTATCTTATTAGAGTTTTAAGTCTGATTTTCAATCTATATATATATAAAATTCAATTGCTGTTCGTTAGTCTCGCTAAAACTCGAGAACGGCTGAACGGATTCATCTTATGTTGATCTTGAAATGTTCGTGCAGGTCTAGGGAAGGTTTAAAAGGTGAGATAAATTCGAATAATTGCCGGGAATTAATTAAGTTTCATTTCATTCCACGCGGACGGAGTCGCGGGCGACAGCTAGTATGTGTGTAATATGTTACATTATCGAATTACCCAAGACTGACACATTCGACAAATCTCTTATCAGCTTATAGTATTAAATGTAATTGACTGAAGGCTGATAAAATCCTTTATATTCACCGCACTCACAAACATATAATTTTAACTTTAATTTAGTATTTAGTTAATGGCTAATTTTAGTTTTTTCTATATTTACTTATGAAATGTACTAGGCGTTCATAACTCACCATGTTAGGTTTGAGCAGTGTACCCTCAAGGTAGACGTGGTGGTCGCTGAGCGCCTTGTACACGGCCGCGAGCACAATCTCAGTCACCTTCTGAGCGCGGTCCAAGTCGTGTTCACCTAAATTAAGATAAAATTAAAATAACAAGCAGAAATCACGGTGTAAACGATATTCTCTTTATACTTCGCTCTCTTTCACTCCACTGATTTTTTATTTTTCTTCTCTTTCGTTAAAATGTGACTAAAATTAAGTGTCATCTTAGGCTCGTTTTATTAGAAAAAGTACTTAGAGATTGAATTATACACAAAACATGACAAGAAATCTACGTTAGTTTCCCTTAGACCTACCAGGACCACATAACTTTGGCCTACTATCCCTGTATAAAACATATTGCTGTCTCTGTTTTGTATATAATGAGAGGGATGACGATATGTTTTATACGCTTTGCATCTGAGTTCCTGGTAGCATAACTCACCATCAGGCAACACCTCAGGCTCCACAATGGGTACGATGCGCTGGCTCTGGCAGATGGAGGCATAACGAGCGAGCACATTAGCATTCTCCATGATGGCCTGGTAGGAAGGAGTGTTGCGGGCAATCTTCAGCACGCAACGCCACTTGGCGAAGTGACAACCGTCCTTCTTATATTGAGCACAACGCTGTGCCAGATCATCAAGACCTGTGAAACGAAGAAATTAATTAACAAATAGGGATCAACGATGTTTAGTCATCCATTTTACTATAGATCTTACTAATATTATAAATAGGAATGTTTAAATGGATGGATGGATAAGGGTCTAGCTGCAATTTGGCATAGATGTAGAACATTGTCTGGAAGAATACATAGGCAACTAAATTAGTTATTTTTAATACCGCGCGGACGGAACCGCGGGCGACAGCTAGTCTAAAATAATCATAGTAACATCTCAAGGACTGTTTACATGTTGACGGTTAAAAGAAAATTCCATTTGATATCTCGTTTAAGTCAATTTAACTTCATCCAATTGTTTTAGGGGAGACGTATCAACAACTAGATAAGGGTGTCAAAGTCGAGCTGTAAACAAGACAATGTGACCTCGGATTTATCAATACCTATGTTGTAATAATACACTGATTATATAATTATAGCTTTACGCCCGTCGTTCCCTGATATCTTACTAATATTATAAAATAATATCGTCAGTTACAATAGTTGCTAGTTACCTTGTGTGGTGCACTCGTCTTCGGATCCGAACAGTGGGACCACACCCTTATCGACCTTGATGCCGGGGATGATTCCGCGCTTCTCCAGCAGAGATACCAGCGGGGTACCATCATCAGCCTTCTGGTACAACGTCTCGTGGAACAGGATCACGCCAGAGATGTTCTCAGACACCGCCTTGGAGACGGAATATTTTTATTTTACTATTTACTACTAGATGGATGTATGGATGGATGTTATTTTGAAGGTATCTTAAGAACGGCTGTATGGATCTCGCTGAAATTCGGCATACATGTAGAACATAGTCTGGAAGAACACATAGGTTACTTATTAAGTTTTTTTTTTAATTCCTCGTGGACGGAATCGATGGCTACAGCTAGTTGCAAATATAAAATAAACTAGCCTAGTACTACTAGACCATAATATCAGCTGATGTAAGTAATGTGAAAAAAAAATGATTGATTACTCTAAAGTTCGCGTGTTGAAACGTAAATCGACTAAGGTAACTCACCGGGTCGGTGCTGAAGAGCATTTGACGGTACTTGCGGCGATTCTCCTCGGTGTTTTCAACTCCAATGTCTTGGAGACGCTTGCCCATCGTACCTGATAAAAAAAAAAATAAGCATATGTTTGATTTAGAAGCCAAAAAAAAATTGATTTTTTTATCTTTCCCCTTACAAAGCAGTTGGCGTTTGTAGTAAACGCTTTATATTTGTAAGTCTTTTCATATATCTTAGCAACTCAAAGTCATCATCGTGCTGCACAACGCCCCCCCCTAGCATCCTCAAAACTGTGTTCTGCACAGGGGTGCAATTAAAGTACCAAGCCGCTAAGATATTTGGAAATACTATACGATTTTTTTAATGGCGCTGGGATCATGAAAGGCAATTAATTTTCTATGCCTCACACAGACTAATAAGGCAATTCGAAGTGGATTTATTAAATCCATCTTACCAGTCGATTCATCAGCAGCCAGGATACCCTTGCCGGGAGCGACGATCGCCTGCGCGATCTTCTTCAGCTCCTCCTGCACCTCGGGAGTTGGGTATTGGAAGTAGGTAGACATGGTGCCTGTAACAACAATGAAGGAATAAGCATCTATAGTCCACGGAATTTGATTTGGCACGCCAGGAATTAGTTACTCCACTGTGTGACGTGCCAACTTGTCTAGTATACTTTGAACTAAAAAGTTCTAAAAAGATTTTAGAAAAATCTTTCAAACTACAAGAACTTTTAGATTATAGTTTATGTATGTCTAGAATAAAAAACGTTAGGCTATTTATAAGTTAACACTCACAGATAAAGAAATTTAAACCTAGTGATCGGATCAACTGCAAACTCAATACTGGCAATATAGAAAACAGTTTACTTAAAAAAGAAAAAAATTATGAAATAAGGTCATCCTTATCTTCGGAGACTCATTGGCCGTGTTTCCATTACTATATTTTTATTAAATCTTGTCGTCTCATTATTTTTAAAGAGACTGACAGAGACAACATTATGTTTTTGAACGAGTGTTTTGTAAAGCCATTATATTTATAGATACGTTATCATTTAAATAAAATTAAATAACATGTTATGTTAATTTGACAAATTTTTACATCATCGTGGGTGTGTCCTTACGGAGGTGTGTATCAAAATTATTGATAAAATGATACCGGTTTTGGAATACGCGTCAGCAAAAGGAATTAAAACGTCATATTACTAAATATTGCATCAGTTTGGCTGATTATTTTGATAGTAAAAGATATTCGTCTACTCGTCGTGATATGTGGACTCAATACGACTGCACTGACAAGCCGAAGACAGGACGTGGAGGCAGCTGGTCGACACAGCCGTAAATGCATATCAAGACGAGCACGACCTTCAGTAATGAAGTATGCGAAGAAGAATAAGAAAAGAAATAGTAATTGTAGGCATGGAAAAACATTAGTCTGTTTGGAAGCTTTCGTGGTCACTAGTAAAAATTGTGGCTATACAATGGGGATTAAATTCTGGATGTTTGTTAGAAGGTATCTCCAGAAGGGCTGCATAAATCTAGCTGAAATTTAGCATAGATGTAGAAAATAGTATGGAAGATCTTATAGGCTACTAATTAAGTTTTTTTTAATTCTGCGCGGACGGAATCGCGGGCGAGTGCTAGTGTTATAATAAATTAAGTACTACCTTTGGTTCCAAATCCTGCCTTCCATCCCGACTCGGGCGGGCCCTTTTTACCCTTTTTTTTAGGTGGCATTTTTTATATTTTATGTAAAAACACTTAAAAATTTAATTATTTACAAAAACTCGACATTATAAAACTTAAATACAAAATCTTACCATAAAATTGACATGCGTGTCAAACTCGATTTGTTTCGAAAAAAAAAGTTTAAATTTGGAAAACATAAACACATAATCTATGGACACGGCGACGTGCGAAAAGTCATGTTGACAGTGACTATCAAAATTTCATTATATTTTTTACACTATAAATACGAATCTTATTGTTTGTTCGTTACCTTTCGGGTCTACATAATTTGAATCATTTTAACATTTTTAACTTTTTGAAGCTGCTAAAAATGAATGCGCAACCTAACAAAACCACGAGCTATAGCTAGATATGCCTATCAGTGCTTTAATTTCCTAACTTGAAACTTACCGTGGGTTTCTGAGACCCTATCTGCATTTAAATCGAATGACGATATGTTTAATAAAGAGATTTTGGTCTCAGAAACTAACGACTATTGTTATGGAGACTCGTTAATTCCAACCAATTCAGACCCAAAATAGGGTTTTTTTCATATCTCGAGAGTTCTTCAAATTCTAATAAGACTGATGAGGCAAAAAATTATATATACAATGAGTCTGTATGTGTTTTTTAATACAAAAAAAATAATGAAGACATTAATTTTTAAGTAAAGATCAAAAAAATTAAGAAGTAACTAATCTTCACTTGGAACCCCCGTAGTCTTAAAAAGTAAAAGGCATATTGAATTGGTACACCTATGAACGTTAATATGTTTGAATATTGAACCAAGTCATGGCACACACATCTTGTCATGTAGGTTACTTCATGACGCAGTTAACTAATTCTAGGTAAAAGAGAAGCACCTAGGTATTTATTTCACGTAATCTATATTTATTTTCGTACTATCTATTTTGAAATTAAGATCTTGACTTTATATTGAGGTTAAGGTGACCTTCAAAGGTCAATGAAAGTAAGTCGTAGCGATCATTTCATTGAAAATAAAGATGTTAATGTATTTCGCATTGAAATTACTTTACAATTTTTGGAGCAGTACCAAGAAATCATGGTAAAATGCTTTGTACACGTAACATATTTATATTTATAATAAGTGCGACGTATTTCTAAAAGATTTATTTCATACCATATTATATCAAAAGCTGATTTTGTAAAACAAATCAATAAGTACGGTTTGTAAGCGAATTTTATTTAATGAGAGTTCTAGGTAACAAATATCCTGGTCGATAATTATACTAGTAATTGTGATGTAATTTTTATACAAAATTTCGCGATGCATAAATAAAACTAAATAAAACAATAAAGCTTAAACAATTTGATGAATAAAATAGTAAATGAATATGACCTTAACGTATAAATATGAACGCAAACATATTACATAAAATGTCATGAAAGCTAACCTAAACAACGTAAATTCTTTCTCAACATCGAATAAATGCAAATAGCGCTGTTTATGAGTTAAAAAAGTGTTGTAACTTACTTTATAATTAAAGATTTTCAGCAGGTATTATAACAGACACTCCCGAACTACTCTTCGACACAAACTGTCAAATTCTTGAACCAAGCTTAGGACACGAACAAAGGTCATTTGAAGGACTAAAGATAAGTTATGTTGTGCTGTTTTACCGACATCACGCAACTGAAATCAGCGCCATCTATAGCAAACATTAGTAATTATTAGTTTTGCTTTGGATTCACTGAAAAGTTTGTTTCTTTTAATATTCCCTAGATGGCACTTCAACCAATTTTTTTTTTCAATTTTACTACATCGACAAGTACAAAAGTGGCATAGTTTATCCATAATGCATATTTTTTTAATTAAACACAGAACACACAGAATTCAATGAAAAACTAACTTGTAATTAACAAATTATTACAATGACTTATTATGAATACCACAATCGGTGACATGATGGTAGCAAAGCCAGAGGTTAAATCCGATAAGTGTTTTATTATTTTTATCTTTACCCACGGACGTATTATTAACTTGTTAAGAAAGTTTAATAATTGCACTTTTATAAACGAGTAACAGACTACATTAAAGTAGTGGAGTGTAATATTTCTATGCTATCAACAATTTTAAATTGAACACAATATTATGCTTTCAATTGTCTTAACAAAACCAAACGTAGACAATTGCTACCACTTTATTTTTAAATTATTGGTCCATCAATATTCTGCAGACTGGATTGTTTATTTAAAGCTCTGAAACATTTCGTATATTTCCTAGGTTAGGCAAACAATAATTGTTCTATTCGTTCTTTGAATCTGAGGCTAATCTTCGATACATAAAATCTCATTAAGCTGTTTCGTGTGTTCTTAATTTGGTGGTAAATATGTATAATTTGGGGGCAATAACTTTAATTAACAACATCCTGTACATTGTAAAAATATTTATCTAAGTGAATATTTGTTATCTTTTTTGTATTTTATAATCGTTTTATATAATCAGTTACGCGTCTAGTGGATTGCGGTGCGGTTGTGTCGAATTAAAACAATTGTTTTGTGCAAAATAAACTAAAAAGTAAAGTAAGTTTGCTTTAAATAGTGGATAGAGATGCTCTATATAGATATTTATGGATAAAACGACCAATAAAGGGCCTTTTAAAACGTAACTAAAGTAACTAAAAAACATAGGATAAGCTGCTAATGCTAATGATTAGTTTATTACTGTCAAAGATATTATTCCAATGAATCTACACGAAATCCTTCCTCTAACCGTTGGTTTCGGAGATCTAAATCTCTGTATAAAACATATCATCTTTCATTTGATGTTTTTAACGAGGATTTTAGCATCAGAAACCCACTGTAACTTCTGTAATTTACATAGATAAGACTGATGCTTAAAGCTTAACATTTTCCACTAAACATACGAGTAAGAGTTTCTGATTTTACTTACTGAATGTTAACAGAATGACAACTTATTTCTCATACCCGGATCCAAGTCTTCAAGAGGAACTGAAGAAGACGGCAGAAGCGATAGTTGTTCCCGGTAAAGGTATCCTCGCTGTTGACGAGTCTAATGGTAAGTTTTTTTTATTAATACACTAGCGGTCTGAATTAGTAAAAAACTTAATTAGTAGCCTACGTGTTCTTCCAGGCTGTGTTCTATATCTATGCCAAATTTCATAGAGATCTATTGAGCCGTTCTGGAGATACCTTCTAAGAAACCATCCGTCCATTCGTTTATCCATCCATCTAAACATTTGCATTTATAATATTAGTAAGATAGATTCAATGCCTCTAAGAGTTTTATATTGAATCGGAATTTTCTACAAGACTTTTCTTTTAATACATAATCTTGTAACTATTTCAACTAAGTTTTATTTTTAGAGGGAATCGGTAAACTCTTGGCATCAGTTGGATTAGAAAACACAGAAAATAACCGGAGAAGGTATCGGCAGCTTCTTTTTACTACTGACGATGTAAGTAAAACATTACTAATCTAGAATCTTTGGAACGACGTACTTTCGTTACAAAGTCCAGTATCAGATTGAATAGTGAGGGGACACAAACGTCGAGATTTTACTAAAGCTAGTGTTGGTTCAATACACTGCGACATTTTCGGATTTTCTTCCTAATATTACCTAGTTATAAACACGAGTTTCCACTTCCGAAACACTTATTAAAAACATATTACGATCCCTCTCATTATCTTTGAAGATAAAAAGAGATAACAATATGCTTTAATACATCTGTTTTTGTTGTAAAAACTCACGACAACATAAAAGACTAGCTGTCCGACTGACTCCGGAATTAAAAACAAACATGATTAGTAACCTATGGGTTCTTCCAGACTATGTTATACATCTATGACAAATTTTATCAAGAACCGTTCAGCCGTTCTGGAGATACCTTCAAACATCAATCCATCTAAACATTCGTATTTATAATATTAATAAGATTTATAAAATCGTCAATGTATTTGCAGTTCCTTTCATGATGAAGATGTCTTTAGGCGTTGATAATCACCTCCGTTTTACCTCCTCCTTTAAAAAAAGTAGTAGTAAACATTATTTTCATAATAAATAATTTTTATACCACAATAAAGACTAGGATCTCATAAGCTCCATTGTTTATTTCCCCTCTAGGAATTAATTTGAACCCTCGTTAAGCAAGAATACGCAGTATATTGAGGTCAGAAAATAAAAAATAACTTTCCTTAATATTAGACGATGCGTCGGGAAATGTGATATAGGATAACACGTAAAATATGGGACAGGAAAAATTTTGATTAGGGATATAACGTATTACTGTGGGTTTTCACTGTTTACATAAGTCTCAAACATATAAGCGTGACGTTTGAAATTGACTTTTTGAAAAAATATAGAATAAAATAGCTGTCGCCCGCGACTCTTAATTAGTAGCCTATGTGTTCTTCCAGACAGTTCAATATGTATGGCAAATATCATCGCGATTCGTTCCGCCGTTCTTGATATATCTATAACATCCATCCATTTTACTTTCCCATTATAATATTTGCAAAATTTGTAAGTTTATTTGCGTTTTTCAGGTTTTATCAGAGAATATATCAGCGGTAATATTATTTGATGAAACAGTGTATCAAAAAACCGACGATGGAACACCCTTTATTGATTTATTAAAACAAAAGAACATCATACCTGGAATTAAAGTGGATAAAGATGTAGTGCCGCTTTATCTGTCTGAAGATGAAGTGACAACTCAAGGTATGTACAAGAAATACAAGTATCCTGCGACTTCTATCGCTTATTGCGGCTGTAAATCATTGTTGTGAACGTAACAAAAAGATATCTGTAATTTCATTCATTATCGTTTTAATAAAATAACCTAAAAAAATCAACATATCAAATAAAAACCTTAAATATCAATAATTTACGTTTATGATTATTTGCTATTGTAAATGTACAGGCGTTTTCATATGTACTAGGCTAAATTGAAAAGGATATTTGATATTATTTATGATAATTATTTTAAACGAACGACTTCTCTAGGTCTCGATGATCTCGCTCAGCGTTGTGCTGTATACAAGAAACTAGGATGTCGCTTCGCTAAATGGCGTTGTCCACTAAAGATTGGGGAACATACACCTTCAGTGCAAGCAATACAAGACACCGCACAAGTTCTTGCTCGGTACGCCTCCATCTGCCAAAGTCAAGGATTAGTACCTATTGTCGAACCTGATGTTCTTTTAGACGGTAAGTTAATAATAATTTTCATGTTTTTGTCATAAATTTACAAATGCACAACACAGATCCGTTGCTGTCCTTCGCGTTGAGCAGCAAATAGTGATGAAAATAATAAAAGATCCATGTTACACATTATAAATATTCCTTATTAGCAAATGTTGCAACATGATATACAAGTGCTGCAATTTTTTTAATAGGCGCATATTCTTCTTAGTAAATAAATTTCTAAAGGTATTTTAAAATCTCGATCTTCGTCTGTCTCTTTCATTATTTTTGTTTTTATAGGAAACCATGATATTGTGAGAACACAGAAGGTAACAGAAGTGGCACTGGCAGCGTTGTATAAATCATTGAATGATCATCATGTGTTCTTGGAGGGAACATTGATTAAACCGAATATGGTAATTAGATATGTAAACTAGCTGTCGCCTGCGACTCCGTCTGCACAAGACTAAAAAAAAACTTTATTGGTAGCCTATATTCTTCCAGAGTATGTTCTACATCTATGCCAAATTTCATCAAAATCCGTTAAGCCGATCCGGAGATACCTTCAAACAAACATCTAAACATTCGCTTTTATAATATTAGTAAGAAATAAGATTAAAATTTATACAAATTTGTATAGTCATTCACTAAATCGACTCTACGATTTTTTTCCCTTGAATCCGTTCAATGTGAATTCGATCGGCAAAATAATATAATATATTAGTGAATAATTTAATTTAAATCATCACAGGTAACTCCTGGACAAGGATGTCCGAAGAGGAACACTCCAGAAGAAATAGGAACAGCCACAGTCACAGCTTTGCTTCGAGGAGTACCGGCCGCAGTTCCAGGTTAGAATTAAGCCGATACGGACAATATTTACACTGTCGAAAATGCTACCGATTTCTTCCCTGAGTTATCCGTGTATAGCAGCCTTTACGGTTACTTAGTAGATTTAATATGAGAGGAATTCTTGAATCATTATTAAATTTCTATAGTGCCAGTATTAAAAAATACAAACTAAATAAAAACCTCTTCCTTTTTTATGTCGGTTAAAAATACAGGATGAGGCAAACGGGAGTAGTAATAATGAAACTACTTGACTTACACAGATTTATATTTATTTTTTTAAAATATATGGTTTAATTTATTGCTACAGCACGCTGTGTACACTTTTAAATATTAATCAAACAGCATTGGAGTGCATTATGAATAAAAAACGATGCTTTTAGTAAATTGCACGGCGTTATACATTTATACTAACCCATTAAAATATAAAATTGCACTTGTACATATCTGCGAAGAATATCAAATATATGTGTAAAGGCAACCTACCCCACCCCTAACTTATGGTAGGATCTGGGCCCCTCAGTGGGAACGTATATAGTGAGCTGATGATGATGAGTAATATACTGACTGATATTTTCATTACGTCAAACCTGAATAAGTGAGAATCACCGTCTTCGGACTCTCGCTTACCCAGGTTTGACTATACTCCTTTTATTACTAAAGACAATTTGCCCCCTTCTGTTATAAAAAAAACATACGATTCTTAAACCCATAACCATTTCTCTTGGCACTGATTGTAGGCATCGTATTCCTCTCCGGTGGTCAATCTGAAGATGAAGCAACTGTCAACTTGAATGCCATCAATAACGTCCAGCTGAAAAAACCCTGGGCGCTTACGTTTAGCTATGGACGAGCGCTGCAGGCTTCTGTATGGAAGACTTGGGGAGGGAAAGACGAGAATATCAAGCAAGCTCAAATGGAACTGCTTAAGAGAGCTAGGGTAAGCTTAAAGTTATACAAGATGTAGTAGAAATGCTGCTAAATTCAGTTTAGTCAATTTCTTGATTGTGCCTTTCCCTTTGGAGACTAATCTCTAATGTGCCCTAAGGCAGTGCCCAGTAAAACCTTTTTTTATGTGGTGTATATGGTCGGTGGCTCAGGGGTTAAGCACTTGACTTAACGTCTGCAGATCCTGGGTTCGAATCCCGCCGTGCAACAATGTGTTTTTCGTTTTAAATATGCACATTTATCCGACATTCTTACGGTGAAGAAAGACATCGTGGTGCTGCACATATCTGCAAATAAATTAAAAGATATGTGTGAAGTCAATCCGAATGAGCCAGCGTTGGCCTAGTCACCCCTAACTTAGAGTAGGTTCCGAGTCCCTCAGTGGAGACGTATAGGTTAAAGGTTTGAAGATGCGTTGCGATTTTCACCTCATTGAACATTGTCATAAGTAGGAAAATAACTTGAATTGTCCCTTCGTCAATAAATTGTGCTTGTTTTAATATCTTAATTATTTGTCCAGGCTAATGGATTGGCGTCTGTCGGCAAATATCAACCGGGCGACATCACAACCGTTGCTGGTGACAGCTCTAATTACAGCAAGAACCATAAATATTAGATAAAGCTTGTGTTACACAAAGAGATCGCAAAAATGTGTTTCAAATAAATTCGAAAAAAAAAATAAAAAAAAAGAATAAATAGTATCCTATGTCCATCTCCATGCTGTAAGCTACTTCCTCACCAATTTTCAACCATATCGGTAAAGCCGTTCTTGAGTTAGTTACACTATTTATAAAAATAGTGTAACTAATACGACTTTCTTTTATATATGTATATACGATTGTTTTGATGGATGGATGTTTGTGTGAAGGTATCTCCAGAACGGCTGAATGGATCATGATGAAATTTGGCACAGATATAGAACATCTGGAAGAACACATAATAGGCTACTTACCTATTTTTTTTTTAATTTCTGCGCGGTCGGTGTCTCGGACAACTATTCTATCTATTCAAATGAAAATTAATATGTGTTTTTAATCAGATTGTGTTTATTAGTAATTTTAATGGACATAAATACTGCCATTTTTCAAGTTGCATGAATAAGTATATTCCAGTAATGGCCATATCATTGCATTCCCTAAATGACTAAAATCTATATCATAGTGTGTCATTCGGTTGTTACGAATAATTCGCGGGACTCAGGGATTTTTATATTAGTTCAATGGAAAATAATTTTACATTCAATGACTTTCAAAGAGAGCGAAAGAGATGACAGTATGTTTAAAACTCACAAAGAAATCAGTCGGCAAACTTATAAATCGAATGATTCAGACCAAAAGTGCATGAACTTAATTCCTACATACTAGTTTCGTTGTCGTCATAAATTTTCTTTATTCAATACTAGCTGTCGCTCGCGATGACGTCCACGGGTGATTGAAAAAAAAACATACTTAGTAGCCTATGTGTTCTTCCAGACTAAAATTTATGGATATCCGTTCTGCCTTTCTGGAGATATCTTTAAACAAACATCCATCCATGTAAACATTCGAACTTATAATATTAGTAAGATAAGATAAGATGGAATCTTAGTCATATTTTTTTATAACAAAAGAAACAAAGGTGTAAATGGTCAACTTAATTTGCCAAAAAAGATAAGTGACCTTTACTCACAGACATCCTACCTATAATTCACAGAGGAACGGACACACAGAAAAAGGATAATTTCTACTTATATCCTCTCATCTGTCAAATGTACATTCCCTTCCCATCTCTTAATGAGTTAAAAACTAGATTTGGTATATGTACTTTTTATTTTTTTATTCTACAAATCTTTATGGTATTAAACTGAAGGTATTAACCAGGTCTAAAAATATGATGAACATAAATATACACACAGAGTAGATACTACAGAGTCGACAGTTCAATCATTAGCGTGGTTACACATGCGGAGGGATGATGATGATATAAGCAAAAAAGTAATGAGATCGAATACAAGGGTAGAGGAAGACCATAAAAAGTATGGAATGACTGTGTGAAAGAGGATATGCGTAGGAAGGGGATAGACTCGGATATGACGGCTGATAGAGATGTATGGAGGAGTAGTACATACTGTGCCGACCCCCAATAGGGATAAGGGCAGGTTGATGATGATGATGATGATGTCAGTTCAATCATTGTATCTGAAGTAGCTACGAACTTCTATTAAAAAGGTTTTACACGTAATGTGTAAGTCAAGATTGCAGTACTCGGATCACGTGTGCCTTACTAGGCCATTTCACAAAGCTAGAGCCCACGCGTGCTTCGCATCTAAAGCTCAAAAGAGGTATTAACCCTGTGTGGTACAAGGCACAAGACGAAAGCGTTACCATAGGAATCCACCTCCATATTTGTATAGGTTAAAATAATCTTCAAGAGTAGATAGGAACATATTGTTAGTGTTCTTTTAATTTATATATTTCTATTTGTTCTTTTTACTACACAGTATTATAAGTAACCGAAAATAAAGCAGGAATAGAAAAAGTAATCATACGTCGTGTTTAAATATAATTGTACTGTTTATGGAAGACCAAGATCAAATAAATAAAAAGACATCCACTGTCTTCTTTTCATTTTGACTGAAATATATCAATACTAGCTGTCGCCCGCGACTCTGTCCGCGCGGAATTGAAAATAACGTGTTCTTCCAGACTATGTTCTACATCTGTGCTAAATTTCATCGAGATCCGTTAAGCCGTTCCGGAGATACCTTCAATCAAACATCCGTCTAAACATTCGCATTTAATTTTGTATTAATTCAGTTTCAACTTATGACTTGCACCATAAGATAATCCAGAACAAGCGCGATCAAGTAAGGGATGAACAAATCTACCTGAAAGATTTTTTCCTTACTTTTATGATACAAAAATATTTTCTATAAGTAAAATTTAGCCATCATAATGGTTATGTTGCCATAAACAATAGGAAAAGTACTAGCCTTATTGTTATTATTATAGTTTGACAAAAAAGAGTTAAAGCGAAGCTTTTTAATATAAAGTACGAGCTGTCGCCCGCAACGCCGTCCGCGCGGACGTAAAAAAAAACATAATAAGTTGCCTATGTGTTCTTCCAGACTATGTTCTACATCTATTCCAAATTTCTGAAAGATCCATGCAGCCGTTCTGGAGATACCTTCAAATAAACATCCATCCATCTAAACATTCGTTTAATTAAAACTCCGGAAGATAAAAAAAAAACAACGCCATACAACGAAGAGATTCTCCGATAGATTCTCATCTCTGACTACAATCAAGGTTGAAGAAATTCTGTTTATTTTTTTTTAAGGTCGGACATAATCTCTCACCCAGGAGGCTCGGGTTCGATTCCCGGTATCGGAATAGCTTTTAGGCGAGGTCGCGGACGAAAGCACGCTTGCCCGTGGCCTCGCCATGATGCGTAGGAGGAACAGAGGGGTTTAGTGGGTATGCTTCCCATCCGGAAGAGTATGCATAAAGCATTCCCCTCTGAAAAAAAGGTCGGACATAATCATAATCATGTTTCTCGTACAATCTAAATTAGCTATTAAAACCAGAATGGATCTAAGCTTTGTATTCCACAATTATTTCCTTATGCACTATTTTCCAAAATAAGGACAGTTTGAGATGAACTGTTTGCGTCATTTCATTGAAAAATTATGGTCTGGTATTACAAAATACGTACTTAACCTCCATTGAGCGTACAAAACAAGCCTGGACAACAGAAACAAATATTTATAAGTTTTAATAGAATACGTCAAACTGAGAATTAAGGAACACAATGAACGGAACAATGAATGAAAAGGAAAACACTATTGATATTATTTTAAATCTAGAGAGGTTGTCGAACTATAATATCTTAGTATTAGGCACAAAATCGATTTTAATAAAAACAATTGCTGCTGCTATCAAAAGTAAAGTTCATCTAAGGACAAACATCGACACTGAAGGCATCAGCCTATCCTAAGTTAAGGGTCACTAGGCCATAATCAAACACGCTGGCTAACACAGACTTCAGATATACCTTTGAATTTCTTCTCAGATATGTGCTGATTACATCACAATGTTTCCTTTCATCTTAAGGACGTCGGATAAATATTATCGACAGTATATGGCGGGATTCTAACTCAGAACCACCAAGAAAAACAGTTTTCCAAACAAGGGAATGATTAACTAAGCCGAGAGAGAAATACAAGAACTGATGTTGCGAGATAATAAATTACCTACGACGAAACAAAATACTGTTCAACTCCAAAAGAATTGCGCTTGCTTGCGTATATTTCTAACTTCCCTATTTTGTTGTATAAAGGGCAAGAATGAGATGAATTATCCTGTGATTCAGATGTCTATTACGTCATTATCAAATTGCGTAAGAGGTAAGTAATAATAAAACTTTGACCGCAAATTCTTAGTATAAAATCCTAACTCCACATCCCATTGACCATAACATCATCTACTGCTAAGTCGTCTACACCTTTGCTCTGTTAAATATATCATAATTAAAATGGTTTCAACTACGAGTTATTTAGTTATATTTCTAATTTTAATTGTTGGTTTTAAATGTAATATCATCAAAATTGATAATATATCAGGCGATGTAGATTTAGAAATTATTATCAAACCCAAAACGAATTTCAAAGAGGCTGGAAGAAGAGAAACAAAAGACGGGACTAATGAAGAGAAGTCGAACGAAAAACGTGGCAAAGATATTGCAACTTTTATCGGTAACTTTGTAAATGAATTACCTGACAATTTATTTGAAGATGAAAATAAAAATAGTGTAAAACCACAAAACGTAGAAAAAAACGAGGGATTGCCCAGTTTAAAGCCGAGAAGTGGTATCGTTTCCGGAATGTGTCCTTACGGTTATAAAAGAATTGGATTATATTGCTGGCCAATGAATGTTTAAAAAGATAAAAATAGAGGAATAAAAAAGATAAAACAAAAGACGATCAAATTTCGGATATCATGAATTTCTTGTCTAAATCGAATATTTAATGTTATGTTATTTAAAAAAAATATTAAAAATATTATTATAAAAAATTTCATTATTTTATTTTAATCCTATTTAATGCAACATTTTAGGCGTCCAATACCCTTAACAGTTCATCCGATTTTGACTAGTAATTTTTTACCTATTTTTTCTTCAGAGTATTAACTATAGTTTAGTTGATAGTTGTTTTTTTTTAGTTAGCGCAGAGTGTAATAATCGGGCATATTCTTCTTCCAGTGACTCTTCAGTCTTGAAGGTTGGCTGTTAACTTGGATTATACCTATAAGCTTTATTAATTAATGTAAGTCAAATTGCTTGCCGTTTGCGTGTTTGTCCATTTTTAAATATAGAATGTTAAGAATTTAATTACTTAACCAAAGTTTAAGTCGTGTTTTATTACGGTAAACATTGTAATAAATATTTAAGCCGTTTTAATTAAAACGTCGACCTTGGTGCTACGGGCGCTACGCTATCTTAATTTCCGATGAGTTATGGCGTAGTCTGAGACGGAAATTAGACCGCATTTTGCTACACTCTTGTTCTTATCTCGCTTATGACATAAACGTTAATTATAAGACTTTAGTTACCGTGTGTTTACACTGCTGTAACATGTTACAATTTGCTTAATCCATTGATTTCTACTACTCTACTCTTCGTTCTCTCTTTCTCGTTCTAGTCTTTTACGCGTCTGTTGATTTTTATCA